TACCATCACAGCAATAGCAGGATAGGTATGGTAGGCTGAATGGTATTCCTGCAGAGAAACAGCTGAAAAGAAAACTGTGCTATTTTATTTTTGTATTCTCATTTTTATTTTTGGCAACTCTGTGGTAACACACAAATTCAAAAGCAGGTATTCTGGGGCACTCTGGTGCAGTAACACAGTGGCTGTATCTGAAGAAAGGATTACAATAATGAAAGTAAAGGATTAAAGCTGAACTCCAGATAGATATAAAGACACACATTAATGCAGCTGTGTATTTATTAATAGACGTCTTTTATTTAAATGCAATAAAATACATGTAATGATAAAGGTATCTAAATGTGACTCGATATTGACCTCTAAAACCTGTAACAGTTACTGAACTGCAGCAGTGGAAAATCAGATCTCCTTCTCTTCCAGACAGGGCTGTGCTGTGTGGCAGAACTGTGTAATGCTCACCATATATTACACAATTTTCTTGTACAACTTTCCTTTAGATTTACTAAAACCATATAATATGAGGTCAAACCTAAACACTTTCAATGTGTATGCAATCAAGGAAGGCCCTTGTACTACATAGTTAAAGGTAAATCTAATGGAAATTGAGTAAGAATATTGTATAATGTATGGCTAGCCTAAATAGCAGCCTGGATAAACACATAGATCCTTTGGCATGTAAAAAGGCCCCCTTATATGTGTATTAATCTGTGCATTTTAACTTTTGATCTGGAGTACAGCTTTAATGCCACCCTTCAAAAATACATTAAAGATATCATAGAAAAGCAGGGTTGTTGCCTATATATATATATATATATATATATATATATATATATATATATATATATATATATATATGTGTTCATCTTCCTTTACAGCGTATTTATAAAGTTTTGATCCACTAAGTCTGAGTTTAGGCAGATCTGCTATCTGTGCTGTGCCTGTTATATGCATTGCTGTGCTATGAATGGAAATTCCATGATTTTGGTCAAATTGCCTTATAACCAGGAGCTTCTCCCATTTAGCCTAAAGGTTTTTTTTAAATGACCTTTAAAATATGTTAAGTATGCATAATCTAATTTCTTAAAAAATAGAATCTTTGTATCTTAATCGTACAGTACAGGAGACAGGCTGGATATTCATAGATCCTGGGTTAAAAGATGCTATCTTCAGGTGATTGGACACTGGCAAAGCTTTTGGACAACTCTATCCCTTTTCCCATTCCAGTTTACTTATTTTGGATTCTTCAATCAGCTCTTCTGATTTTGGTTTTGTCCATCAACATTTTACTGCCCTCTGTTATAATATTAGAAGCAGTGTATCCAGATTGGTGTAGCCTCGGTAATATCTTGAGAACTATACCTGGACCCCATGCTGTGGGGATGGCCTGTAATGTTTCTTCAGGCACTGGATCTTGATTGTGTGCTCACCTTGGCACTGAGTGCAATGAGTGTAGTTAGCTGTAGCATGCTATACAGGACCATGGTCCATCCCTATGGTTCCCTGTGGACTTCAGGTCATAGTGTACCTAGATGACCTTCTTCTGAAGGATTCATATCCATCAAAACAATCTGAAAACGACTATCCAGATTCTTCAGGTCTGTGGCTGGGTAATCTGCTTTTAAAAAGTCTGCTCTCCAGCCTTTCCTTCATCTAGAATATTTCAGTCTTATTCCAAACATGGCCCAGGCAAATGTTTTCCTTCCAGTAAGCCTCTTTAAAATCCCATGTGCAGAACTTAAGATCAAAAAGACATTCCCTCTGTGAGAGTCTCCATAAGGGTACTTATGGTAGCCTCGTTCGAAGCTGTTCTTTTGCTTAGTCCCATCTAAAGTTTTACTTAACCCAGGACCCTACATTCACTCTATCTGGTCTACCACAATACAAACTACATGGAAATGCAATTATGTTAATAAATATAAACTGCTAAATACCTTTTCTCATCAGACGTTAGAGCAGTCTTGTGACGTCTGTCAGTGTCCAGCCAAGCACTGTTAAAGCTTGTAGGAGGAGTTTTCTTTCTGTTATAGGAGGATACAGAACCCCTGACCTCTGTCTGGACAGTGCTGATTAGCCCTGTGCTGATCACATGCACTCTCTCAAGTAAAGAAAAAAAAAATTCTAGCAGTACACATCAAACTGAGCATGTTCAGAGTGTCTCCACACGATATGTCTTATCAGGAGATCAGAGGGGGACCAGTGAGAAGGGGAGGATTAGAGAAGTCAGGATCAAACCGCCTTTTTACACAATGAAGAGGATTAACCCCTTAGGTTCCACAGTGAGTATAACAAGCATGCTTTACTGCATATACAGACTGAGTTTACTATTGTGGGCTTAGTAACACTTTAAGGCCTCTTCAATACAGCATTCTATTGTCCCAGAATGAATACGCTTCTCTCCGATTCTGTTCCTATTCTTCTCTCCAGTCAAGCAAGTAACAACCTAACTTGCTGGATTTCCAACCCAATTTTGAAAATGGGGAAAACATGCTCATATAAACCGATAACAGATGCCAGTCTCACAGGCCAGGTGGGGGTGTTCTAATCTCTCACAGTTTAAGGAACCTGGTTCCCATGGAAAGCCAAATTTCCTGGAGCACAGAGCAATCAAACTAGCTCTGCTTCAATGTACCCCCTTTCTTCATAGGTATACAGTCAGTGTGCAGTCAGACAGTGCTTCAGCAGTGGCCTAGATCAGTGGTCGGCAAGCCGCGGCTCGCGAGCCACATGCGGCTCTTTACCCAGTCTAATGCGGCTCTTCTGTGTGCCGGGCGCCTGCTCCCCTCCCTCCTCTCGGTCGGCCGCTCCCCTGCCTCCTCTCGGTTGGCAGCCCCAAAAGTCCGCGCGGACCTTTTAATCCGGCTTGCGGATGTGGCTGTCAGGATGTGTGTAGGCGGGGCAGCGTGCCGAACGTGAGGGGAGGGGAGCTAGGCTCCTCTCACAGTCCGCCCTGAAGACCCGAACGGCGCGGGAAGACAGCGAGAGGAACGCAAAAGGTAAGTGAATTGACACGGGGGACTTGGCTTACTAGAAGGGGGGGGGGGGAATAGTACTGTGGGGGATGAAATACTATATGAGGGATGAATTACTTTATGAGGGATGAAATACTATATGGGGGGATGAAATACTATATAGGGGGATGAAATACTATATGAGGGATGAATTACTATATCAGGGATGAATTACTATATGAGGGATGAAATACTATATGGGGGGATGAAATACTATATGGGGGGATGAAATACTATATGGGGGGATGAATTACTATATGAGGGATGAAATACTATATGGGGGGATGAAATACTATATGAGGGATGAAATACTATATGGGGGATGAATTACTATATGAGGGATGAATTACTGTATGAGGGATGAAATACTATATGGGGGGATGAAATACTATATGAGGGGATGAAATACTATATGGGGGGATGAAATACTATATGGGGGATGAAATACTATATGAGGGATGAAATACTATATGAGGGATGAAATACTATATGAGGGATGAATTACTATATGGGGGGATGAAATACTATATGGGGGGATGAAATACTATATGGGGGGATGAAATACTATATGAGGGATGAATTACTATATGAGGGATGAAATACTATATGGGGGGATGAAATACTATATGGGGGGATGAAATACTATATGAGGGATGAATTACTATATGGGGGGATGAAATACTATATGAGGGATGAATTACTATATGAGGGATGAAATACTATATGAGGGATGAAATACTATATGAGGGATGAAATACTATATGGGGGGATGAAATACTATATGAGGGATGAAATACTATATGGGGGGATGAAATACTATATGAGGGATGAAATACTATATGAGGGATGAATTACTATATGGGGGATGAAATACTATATGAGGGATGAAATACTATATGGGGGATGAAATACTATATGGGGGATGAAATACTATACGGGGGATGAAATACTATACGGGGGATGAAATACTATACGAGGGATGAAATACTACGGGGGATGAATTGCTATGGGGGATGAATTACTATATGGGGGATGAATTACTATGGGGGATGAATTACTATATGGAGGATGAATTTACTATATGGGGGATGAATTACTATATGGGGATGAATTACTATGGGGGATGAATTACACTATGGGGGATGAATTACACTATGGGGGATGAATTACACTATGGGGGATGAATTACTATGGGGGATGAATTACTATATGGGAGATGTATTTTCAGTTTTAAAAATGTGGCTCTCAAAATAAATTTCAATCATGGTTTTGGCGAGATTTGGCTCAGTTGAAAAAAAAGGTTGCCCACCACTGGCCTAGATCAATCATCAGAGGTATACCAAGAGTCAGGCAGCCTGAATGGAAGTAAGTATCATTCTCTCCTGGGCCGAGAACCACTGTCCAGCAATCTCTGCTGTTTACATTCCAGGGGTGGACAGCTGGCAGGTGGTATTTCTCGGTCATCGTGGCCTGGACCAGGGGTCCCTTCATCCTAGCATTCTCAATCTGTCATGCCAAAAATGGGCGACACCAGATGTGGACATCTTAGTTACCCCTGTTTGTGGTAGGGCCAAGGATCCTCTAGCACTGGCAATGGATGCCCTGATAATTCCCTGCACTCCATTCCCACTAAAGTATGCCTTTCCTTCAGTGTGGATTCTTTCTCAATTTGTTCCGCGAATCAGTAAAAAATTGGTGATTCTTATTGCATCAAACTGGCACAGAAGAACCTGGTTAACAGACCTACTCAAATATCTGGGAGATGACTCCTGACCACTTCCAAACAGGCCAGACATGAAATCTCAAGGCCCCCTGTCCCATCCTGCTTCTTAGTCATTGGCACTAACAGCGTGGCTGTGAAACCCCAGGACTTGAAGGACAGGGATATCTCTGATTCTGCCATTTGCACCTTCCTCAGAGCCAGAAAAGCAACTTTAGGAAAAATATACTACAGTACTTAGAAATTATATTCAACCTGGTTTGACAAAGGTTTTTCAAAGTTAACCCCCCCGAAGCCCAACAGCACATTGAGCACCAGGGGTATAGAAACTCCTGCACATAGTTTAATATATTCCTACAGGAGGTTGGGGCAGGGCAATTTAACCACTTGCCTACGTTTAACCCCTTCCTGCCCATGCCAATTTTCAGCTTTCACGCTGTCACACTTTGACAATTGCGAGGTCATGCAACACTGTACACAAACAAAATTTTTGTAATTTTTTTGAGATCAATAGAGTTTTTTTCTTTTGGTGGTATTTAATCACCACAGGGGTTTTTATTTTTTGCAAAACAAACTAAAAAAGACTGAAAATTTGGAAAAACAAAGTTTTTTTTCTTAGTTTCTGTTATAAAATTTTGTAAATAAGTAATTTTTCTCCTTCACTGATGTGCGGTGATGAGGTTGCAGTGATGGGCACTGATAGGTGGCACCGATGGGCATTGACAGGCATCACTTGTGGGCATTGACAGGCATCACTATATGACACTGATAGGCGACACTGACTGGCACTGATAGGCGGTACTGAAAAGCAGCTCTGATGGGCACTGTTATGTGGCATTGATGTGCACTGGTAGGCACTGATATGTGGTATTGATGGGCACTGGTATGTGGCATTGATGGGCACTTACAGGTGGCACTGATAGGGCTACACTGATCATCAGGGCACTTATCAGTACCCTGATAATCAGTGTACATTTCCCCTCTGAGGAATGCCGATTACCGGCTCTCCTCTTCTCACGAGCTGTCAGCGGGAGGAAAGGACTGCTGATAACCGGCATTTCCTATTTACATGCGATCAGCTGTGATTGAACACAGCTGATCACATGACAGAGCCGACATCATCGGCTCTTTATAGTGATCGGTGATCCGCTGTGTCCCAGGGACACAGTGCACCACTGATCGCCACACGCCACCGAGGGCTCGCATGCGCAGTTAGAGTGGGAGGATGTCCTATGACGTCCTCCCAGAACAAGAGAACCGCCGCCTGTCCATCATTACTTTATATGGTGGGCGGCGGTTAAAGAAAAGCTTCCAGCATATATTTCTGCTGAAACGCTTTCTCCTCCATCCCCAAGTGCTCTAAATCCGTATTTTTCAACCTTTTTTTTTCAGTCAAGGCACCCTTTAAATTTCTGCACAATCTCGAAGCACCCCTTTCTAAAATGTAAAACACTAAATTATTAGTTTTACATCCACACACAAAAGACACCCAGCGTTCGAGGTGCTTTTATTCTTCCAAAGAACACTTGTACTTATATTCCAGCATTTCTCTTACCCCTCATTTTCTCTCCTCCACTCTGCTAATGTGAACCCAATGCTGACGGTGAGGGGCAAACAAGGACGCTGTGCAGTGCATCCTCTGTATTAATCAATGACGTCATTGGTTGTTAGGATGCTGAAGGTTGTAATGGTGTACACTGAAAACCTTATATCTAAAAGGCAGGCTTCATCCATCTGCTGGCTTGTATACAATTTTTTAGGCATACTGCCATTGCATTCATGAACAAACCTGAAAGCACCTAGGCACCCTGGTTGAAAAAGGCTGCTCTAAATTTGTGTTAGAATAGCAACATTGTGCAATGCAGTAGTGCTAGTTTGGTACAAACTGAAGAATCTCCCACACCTAGCTTAATATGTGCCTGTGGGGCATTGTGGAAACACTAATTTAATGATACTTTGTTGGAGCACCTTTTAATTTTATGATATTCTGTTTTTTGGGGTAGGAGTCTATCAGCATGGCACATGTTGCTTTGGGGATATTTGCCCACTCTTCCTGACAAAAGTGTTCCAAATCGGTCAAATTGCGTGTGCATCTCCCTGTGTACAACCCTCCTCAAGTCCCCACACAGATTTAGAATTAGCATTCAGATCTGGGCTCTGACTGGGTCATTCAGAAACCTTGATCTTCCTCTGTTGCAGCCATTTTTTTTGGTTGATTTGTAAGTATGCTTTTGGGTCATTGTAATGCTATATGGTAAAATCTCTGTCCTTCCTCAGCTTTTTTAGCTTTTTTAGAAGAGGCTTGAAGGTTTTGTGCCAAAATTAACTAATATTTGGAACTGTTCAGAAGTCCCTCCACCTTAACCAAAGCCCCAGTTCCAGCTGCAGAAAAATAACCATAACGATAATGCATCTACCATCATGCATCACTGTGGATTTGGTGTTTTCTTGATGATGCACAGTGTTGGATTTGAGGCAAACATACTTTTTGGAATTATGGTCCGAAAGTTCAATCTTGGTTTCATCAGATCATAACCCAATTTCCCACATGCTTTTTGCTTGATGCAGGTTTTGGCAAGATTTAGCTGGGTTTGGATGTCTTTCTTGGTAAAAAAAGACTTCTGTCTTGCCACCCTACCCTCCTGAGGATTTACCCCCCCTTCCTGACCAGGCCATTATTTGCATTACAGCGCTACGTTACTTTAATGAAATTTACGTCCTTTTTTTCTCACAAATTGAACTATCTTTTGATGGCACTTGATCGCCTGTGCGGTTTTTATTTTTTACGCTATAAAAAATGCCAACAATTTTGAGGAAAAAACAATATTTTAGACTTTTTGCTATTCAACATGTCCACAAAAACAAAAAAATAAAAAAAAAAAAAAAAAAAAAAAAAAAATTTCGACATATATTTAGGCCAAAATGTATTCTGTGACATGCCTTTGCTAAACAAAAATTGCAATGCGTTTAAATAATTGGTTTATGTCAAAGTTATAGCATTTACAAATGGTGGTATAAATACTGGAATATTTTTTTTCTAGTAATGGCAGCGATCAGCGACTTATAGTGTTGATCAGTGACTTATAGTGAGGCTGCGGCGGACATTCTGACACTTACAGGAACTGAATTGTGTCACTGACATCCCCAGTGACATCAATACAGTGATCAGTGCTAAAAAAAAGCACTGACACTGTACCAATGGCACTGGGCAGGAAGGGGTTAACATCTGGGGCAATCAAAGTGTTAACTGTGTGCAGGCAGTGTTTTTACTAGGGGTCAGTGTGCTTTACTGTAAGCACACTGCTTTGGATGGCTGTGCTGTGCCTAAAGAAAATGGAAGGCTTTAAAGTAGAACTGAAGCTAAAAATTGCAAAACTTTTTTTTTTTTTGGTTAGAGTAAGAGAGGGTTATGACCATTGTCAGTTTTTTTGGCCTTCTGTATCCCATCAGTGAGATTTCCCTTCAATTGCTGTTCTATAGCCTCAACAGGAAGTGGGAGGAAATCTTTGGTAGTCACAAAAACTATTGTCTGCTTTGGAAGATTTCCCCTCCATTCCTGTTCTGGTGGCCACTTAAAATTTGGGATCTTCTTTCACTTTCAGTGATAATGGTCCCCAGGACACAGAGGGTGAATCTTCCCGAAGGGAGCTCGGCTGACAGGGTTCTAATCCCTCCCCACTCTATCCAAAACTTTCATGTGGCAATGGTCAGCAGAACAGTTGTGACATCGCCAAATCTCATGAGATTAGTAGTCTGAGGTAGCAGCACTTAAAATGATTCATAGTGCAGCTATGAGGTTGTACTGACAAGAGTGCGTGGCACATTCACTTGTCAGGAAGAATACATTTATGGCAATTGGTGAGTATTACGTAGAGGGAATGAAAACTGTTATGTCTAAGGTCTCTTTCATACTTGATGTAGTTTCTACCTCTGAAATGCAATGTACTGTGGAACGTTTTTCAGAGGGCAGGAAAGCAGCAGCTTCTAGGCATTTGGGTGGCAACCCTGCTGCCTCCTGCATGTGCTTTTTTTCCCCAAAAAATGCTCACAGTTGCAGTACAGCCCCATTGACCGGGATATTAACACAGGTCAACTGCCTGTTTTTACTGCCACTTTTCCACCTGTGTGAAATGGCCCTAAGATAGCAGATCCTCAGTTTTTTTTAGTTCAGGTTTTTTTTAGTTCAGGTCCACTTGTCAGGTCAGGTCTGGTCTGTCATTAGAGTGTATTAATGGATTTTTTCTGTTCCCTGCAGAATCTAAGACTGAGAAAAGGCAAAAGAAATGTGAAGATGAGATGGGACGTATAAGACCTGGCTTTTAAAGGCTGTGTCCATTTAAATAATTGGTCTGAAATCCATAAACCGTTAAGATTACACATCAGAAGCTTTTGGAAACCCTTCAAGTCCTCTCTGAATCTCCCAAATTTTGGATCAGCGCATTCTTCACAATGACGCATCTTTAACTCTACAGTTTGACTGTGTAGAGCCCACAACACAGACTACAAATAAGCTGGCCTATTCTTCTCTTTATAGTGCCCCCTGTTTAAGGTATTGTGAGTCCACTGAGTGCACCTTAGTTCACTGGCAACACAAAGTAATAAGGTGATTGCTTGCATTACAACGGGAACAATTCCTTTCTTCACAGTGCCTACTGTGAACATGATAACAGTTGCTAGACCATAATAAAAACTTCTGTATTCATTTAACTTTTTCATGCTAATGTGGAGATGTTTAAAATGTGAATATCTGCACTCTTAGCTTTCTTACATAATATAATGGTGCTTTCTTTTTCTTTCTTGTCATAAGACTTTCATTAGAGAGCAGGAAGCCAGAAATGAGTATCGAATGGACAAAATGTTTATTGCCTAGTGCCAATTGTAACGAGTCATGAAGATATGACTGATGCCGATTTAGGGGTTATCTGTTGATCACCGAATGTTGTGCCAGTCACAAAAATACAGTGATACGCAGTGAAAATTTAGAGATGCACTTTACAAATGGTTAAATGTTTAACTTGTTCTGCTTCTTGGGAATGGCAAGGCCGTTGGGTCCATTTATCTTGGTTCAAACTGACCCTTGCTGAGTAAGGCCTTATGTCACCTGTTGCTTAACTCTGCAAAATGCAGCCCTCTTTTAACACTAGATAAATGCAGTGTTCTCAGTGAAAAGGGGCTGATGCTTAAAATGCTCAAGTTGTGCACCTTTACTATAGCAGGACCTTAGTTAAGCATTTCCTTAAAGTGCCTTTACAGTCACAGCCTACCTTCAGCCAGAAAGTACATTATTACCGTGAGGCCTAGTTTCTGCCCTCTGTGCTCT